CTCTGGAGACTTTCAAAAGACGCCTTGATTTGTTCCTGTGTGATCTGCTTTAGGTGATCGTGGTCTGGCAAGGGGGTTGGACTAGATGATCTCTAGAGGTCCTTTCTAAATCCTACCACTCCGTGAATCTCTGTGAATCTGTATACTAAATGTTTTGTGTTTGCAGAGAGCTGGAAACAACTATCTATGGGGTGTGCTTTGCTTTGTTCATAATAGCGAGATTAACTTGCACAGATTGTCAGTACTTTATAAACATTTTATGTCAGAATCACGTAAGAGAGGAGAAAAAAGACTGAGTGAGGTATTCCAGCTAAGCAATGGCGTTTTTATCTATGCTTCTCCTTCATTCTGACCACGAAGCAAGATTTTGCCAAGCTAGGGAAGTCCAGCAGACCATTAGAAGGCACCAAACACAGAAGATCCAGGAATGTATAAGAGTACTTGCCACCTTAAAGAGAGAACATACGAATCGTCATGCCAAGTGAGACTAGAGTCTAGCTAGTGGGTTGTGCTGTTGCTAGCCATGTCTAGTAGGCCAAGGGAGACTAAGAAGGAAGCACATAATGACATTTTCCACTAAAAACATTCTCAAAATGCTTCCAGCATTCTTTGAAGTAGAACAGGAAAATTAGTCTCAACATATTTCATGTTTGTATATGGAAAGGGGTCCTAAACCTGTATCAATCAAAGTTGTTTTCTTGACATAGCCACGTCAGCATGAATAGAGGGAGACTGTAACATCTCAATTTTTATGACTGCTTCTTACATCATATTTAATGTGCTCCACCTTAGATAGTGGAATGGATAAATTTTGTGCCAATTATTATTTCTTGAGAGAATTTCTTGCAGATGATACTACTGTTATCATTCTGATAACCTAAGTTTTCAGGTAAACTGATGTATGCAAGTAGTGGAACTAAATAGCTCATGAGGGAATAAAAAAGGTAATGCATCAATTTCTGTTTGTGTAGACCCTTCTTGAACAGCTTCCTTAGTGTTGCCTTGAATTGTTCTTGCCATGCACACTGGTCAATTGGATAACCTGTCTGTATTTTGATTAGTGAATAAGCTCTAGCAAAAACCAACCAACCAAAGCAAAACAAAAAAAAAATCACCAAAAAACACCTTTATTGACAACTTCCTATCTAGTGTTTGTAACTTACGTGTGTAACGCCAAAACCATGTTCTGTGTGTTTCAGGAACTTCTGCCTGCTTCTCTTTTACTTCCAAAGCTCTTGTAGCTGTATGTTTCAAAATCTTTTCCCTTCTGTTTTTGGTCTAGGTATCTGTCTATGCCATACCACAGCATCTAAACCAAGTTGGGTATGCCTTAAACACAACAGTGAAACTTCTGGAATTTTATCAAAAGTACTTTTTAATAAACTACCCTCTTGAAAAATTAGGTAAGTTCAAGAGAACATTTTAAACAGAAGAATAAATCCTAATAGATTCTGAGAAA